AGTTTTCATAGTAGAAAACCCCGGATGTAACTGTGAATGAGCAACATTAAAACGTCCATCTGCACTTTATTATAGTTTCCTAAATTGTTCAACTTGCCCAAATATAATTCATATAATTGTAAAATCTTAATTAACCAACCCTTAAAAACGTTCATATTGACATAGCTCTCTAATATCATACCCCATTTTTCGTAATTCTAATCTAATTTTAGGTATGCACAGACGTGCAGCTGAAATGGGTCACTTTTTATGTGTCAAATATATCAATGGGCTGCTATTTCACCAAGGTAATATATCAATCTTGGGTCGTATATGTATATTCATTTTCATCCTCCAATTAGATGTCTGTCTATGGTTTGCTAAAATTTAAATTAATATGAATGGTCGCATGTGTTTTATGAAACTTTTATCAACATAAAACGAAATAATCCTTTTGTTGTCATAGAATACATGTGAGATGACTGAACAATATATAAGGATTTTGAATTGAGATATATATGGTTCGGAGTTTTCACAAAACGTCAATATAAGATTGGATGATGTTCCAAGCTGCACGTTTGAACCTAAAATCTTAAACCCTGTCGTAAATAACGTACACATATCATGATGAGTAAAATATTGTGTTAATTTCATAAGTTCTTTGCAGGTGATTTTGCTTTTTCTTTTTGTTGATATACTGTCTTGAGTTGTGGCTTCATCAAAGCACACTTCACATAGTCTCTAATCCATAAAATAAATCAAAGTAAATTAAATAATGATTATTTCACCACATCGAGTATGACATAATATGTTTTCTCTTGGGGCAGTTAGATTAAATTTAATTTTAGATATTCAAGATTTACAGTAGAATGGGAAATATCGCAACGAATGAGATACGACGGTGATATTTTTTTTAATGACTTTAAGACGATGTGTAGGCAAACTCTATTGCATTAATTATTTGTGACGTCATCAGGCATGGTTACCGTTTTTCGGGACGCTAGAATAGCGAAATCAGAAGAAATACCAAAATATTTGACGTCATAACAATTTTTGATCGATGGGAAACTGAGATCAAATTAATCAGTCTGAGAGATTATAAAAAAAAATCATTCAAGTTCGGGAAGACTGAGTATAAATCGGATACGAATTATATAAATCAGAATTCTACCTCATAAAGAGTCATACGATATTTATCCTCTCAAGACATTAGATTTGTACCAGTGATTTAAATATTTAAACTTAAATTGTAACTGTCGAGAGAGGGAAACTATCGTATTGCACCAGATATACGCCGGTGGAATTTGTCCATTCTGGGGTCTTTTGGTTGTTTTCTTATTAATGTATACCTCGCATCTCCATTTACTCACATTTTTTGTGGGGTCGCAATGGGAAAGTAAGAACATTTACGTCATAATTGAGCAAACCACACGTTGATTATTAAAAACACAACAATTTGGGAAAGGTATATCGGCTAAGAACAAGGAAAATATATAAGGTTATACATGTACGTTGCGTTATTACGTAAACCATTGATTTTTTTCGAAAAAAAAGGAATAGATTTCTTTTGCTTTATTAGGCAAATCTTTCGGAATTTTGGGTCCTAAATGCTTTTCATCTTCGTACTTAATTATTTGATTCGAGCGTCACTGATGAGTCTTTTGTAGACGAAATGCGCGTCTGGCATAAAACTGTTTAAGCCTGGTACAAATGTATCTATGATGAGTTTATGTAATGGTTTTAACGACAATAAATGAATAGTGATCCACGTCATGTAATACATGTATCTTGTGGATAGTTGTTTCATGTGCAATCTTACTACATCTCTATATTTAATATATTTGGGGTGTAAAAACGTTCACTTAAGCACATTTTGTATGAGAAGCGCTTCATGTTAAAAATGTGTCCATGAACAACGCTTTTACAATTCAGTTTATAAAATTTTAAAAAGATGCATTCGATTCATTTCATAACATGTTTATGCTACAACCATGACATTGAGAATTACATTTTTGTATTATTCAAATAATTTAACAGTCAAAGAGTGTCTTACGAGGATCAACAGTCCTTCACCTTTCATTAATTTTGATACCTAAAATACCAAAATATCTTCTACATAGTTTGATATTTACATCTTTGCGAAGGAACTATTTTGTTTTAAATATGTACTACTTTCTTTTTGACACGGCTCTATTTGGTTTGTGTTAAATCTTACAAAGTTTAACCGAACTATTTTGCCAAGAATTCCGCTCGAACCGGTGTTACGGGCGTTTTAAACTTTCAATGCGGTGAGAGTTTATTTGAAGGCCTCACTGTGAGTTTGAGATGAAGAACAGCAATAAAAGCGCGTTCCCTTACCCTTTTTGTGTGTTTTTTTTTTATCTGCATGTACTGATTTTGTGTCATGGATGGATACCTCATTTCTTTTTTCTACTATATTATTGTGGTAATTAAAATCATCCTAATAGTGCATGTATATTGGCTAATAATAACACATTTAATCAATCGTAAATTAGAAAAACAAAAACTTATAATGTGCATTCGAACATACATTTAAAATAAAACAGTAGCCAACTCTCACTCATGTTTAAAGCACGAAGTCCTACCTTAAGAATTTATTTCCAATTTGAATGACACAGTTAAATATTTACAAACTAACATTACGGTAGAAATAGAATCCATAATTATAAATAAAGTAATTCTAAAAATGATTCAATAAATCCATCATTTGTAAATTTCCAGGCAGAATTTTGTTGTTACGAAAACTAAATGCTATATTGTAAATATAAAGTTTAAAGAACATTTAAGCATCAAGTTGATATAATAGTAAGTAAAACAAATACGGAGAGATAATACAAGTGAAAAGCAAGTTAACATAGACTTGTCCCTAAACAAAACGTATATTCTGCTGCGCTATGGCCCTCGTCATAATAACAAACGACAAAGGTCATTAATTGTAAAATCTTGTTGGAGAATTTGAAAGAAAAAGAGAAATATTTTTTTTTCTGATTGTATGTTTTTTTTCATTGCGTTCCATCATGGCGCCATACAACTTCTACTTTGATCGTTCCAAGCGTGTTTGTAACCTTGTAATTGATTGGCTTATTAATTTCTATGACAATTACCGTATTCATAACTCAACATGCAGACATCTTATACGTTCGGGTATTTCACATCCAATCTTTTATGGTAATATTCTTTCCAAAGCACAAACATGTCAGTATTCACCTCAAAAGCTAACAAAACCTTTAAACAGACTTATAAAGAAGGGATATAGTTACGATACTGTTGTCAGGTCATTAAAGATTGCATATTTTGGCTTTAATATTGATTCACTTATAGGGTCTTTACATCGGAATTAAACATATTTATTCTAAAACCAGTTGTTGGCATGACACGGGTTATGTTCTTCTCATATATTTTATGACGGTATAATACTAAACCCCTAACAGGAGGGATTGTGCCTGATATTCATATGATGAAGTCATAATCTTTTAATCCGTTTAATTGAGGTCTGGAGCTGGCATGTCAATAACTGCTAGTAGTCTGTTGTTATTTATGTATTATTGTCATTTTGTTTATTTTCTTTTGTTTCCTATTCTGACATCGGACTCGGACTTTTCTTAAACTGAGTTTTACTGTGCGTACTGTTGTACGTTTGTTTTTTCTACATTGGCTAGAGGTATAGGGGAGGGTTGAGATATCAAAAAACATGTTTAACCCCGTCGCATTTTTGCGTCTGTCCCAAGTCAGGAGCCTCTGGCCTTTGGTAGTCTTGTATCATTTTTAATTTTAGTTTCTTGTGTATAATTTGGAGTTTAGTATGACGTCCATTATCAGTGAACTAGTATACATATTTGTTTAGAGGCCAGCTGAAGGACGCCTCCGGGTGCGGGAGTTTCTCGCTGCATTGAAGACCAATTGGTGGCCTTCGGCTGTTGTCTGCTCTATGGTCGGGTTGTTGTCTCTTTGACACATTCCCCATTTCCATTCTCAATTTTATTTTATGATATTGTTCTAGACACAATCCATTGAACATGGAATCAGCAATTAACGTAACGTAAAATGCAAATACGATTTTAGAGCTTGACATATTGTATTGACACCTGTCTATTTTTAGACTGTATGTAGCCGTCTATTATATGGCTTTTGGTTATTTGAATCGGTGATTTCCTGTGTCATTGACATTAACCCAACAGTTCCTTTACTCTTAACACTGCATGTGATGTTTTTTTTTATCAAGGCAGGGCTGAAGCAGAATTGTATAATTATAGTATTTAAAGAATAATTTGTTTTGTATAATTCGTTATAGCAGTAATTAATCTAAGCACTATTTCGAAAATGGGACACTCAATGTAATATTTATAAATAACTCTAAGCGTTTGACAAACTATGATGATTAAATAACACAATTATATGGAACTTTTATTTAAATAAGCCAATTTCCATTGATATTTATTCTAGTTCATAAGTCATAACGGATGGGTTTTTCAATTAAGTGAAGTGTCATTAGATTAAAACAAATGAAAAAATCATTTCAACCTTTCAGGGAAACATGCATCACTTAAAATATTACAGTACCATAATAACCCGTTAAATTGTACACATACTTTCAAAATGTTTCATTATTTGTTATTTTGTATATTGCATTGCATTGTTATATTGCAATGGCGTTGTCATTTTATATTCGACTTAGGAGTTTGAATGTCCCTTTGGTATCCTTCGCCTCTCTTTTACAAAATCTGTTAAAGTTGGTTTCTACTATTGATTGCAGTTTGCAAAAAGACTTTAACCCTTTTTCAACTAAAAATCGTCCAGCAGCACAGTTTAACCTTTTGGGACAAAATGCCATAGGGGCAAATAAAAACCATAAGCCGAAAACAATCCGACAATACTATGGACTAAAAAAACAAAGAAATTACAAACACGATATAATAATGGTAATAATAGTGAACGATTTAATAATCCATGTTATCTAATTTGCAGTAAAACAATATTTAATTTTGATGTAAAGTACTCACCACCGCCATTTTTCTGCGTAAGGTAAGGAAAACGCCATACATTGCCTAGGCCTACAGCATATCCAATTAAAGAAAGTAAAAACTCTGCACGGTTTCCCCATGTCTCTCTTTCTTCTCCAGTATGACGACTTAATTTCTTTTCTAAATCAATTTTTAATAAATTCGCAGTAGAAGCCTCTGGTCCCACACTTAGTGTACTGCCGTACGAAGTTCCCGGGCTTGGAAGATGGAGAGAAGTTTTAGGATCGCTAATGAACGACGAATCATCAGGTGACACTAACAAACTATTCATTTCAATTTTATCTTTGACTGGTTCCGCCATTTTAATCTCTTTACAAAAACAACTTTTGCAAAACTTATTTTCAATTATGAGTGAATCAAAATTCAATCCATTTCTTTGACTAAAATCACAACTATATATGTAAATCAATAGAAATCCTAACTAATAGACGAAACGATGCCATCAAGGCTTACCACGTGTTGCTGACGATCAGGTATCGAGCGATGCTATTCTCAGGATAAAATACAAAAGGAATTTATTGTAATGACGTTAACATTGGAAGAATAATTACTAAGACTATAGAAACAACAAAAATCAATCATCAGAACTGGACTGTCGGATAGAAATATAATGATTTGACAAAAAAACCCTATTTTTTAGCATGACAGAAGATTAACACTGGCAGCCGACATTGTTGATATTTGCTCTGCACTAAGTCCAAATCTTCTTAACGTTTTTTAAGTACCAGCAGAAAAAAGAAATTGACCGATTATGCTATGAACAAGTACAAATGATAAGAATGTTTTCATTGTGTTACAAATGTGACCTGTTAAAATACTTTATTCTTTGCTTACTGTACATAACATTATCAATTCAGAACAAACAAGTAATATTTTAATTCATATTAATGATCAAATCTACAGAAAACTAAAGGGTAAGTGTATCATGCATGCATCAACCGCCATGAGAACACAGACTCATTAAAGTACGACAAAAGAGATACTTTTTCATTCCCTATTGTTAATTTTCCTTTTTGGACGTTTTAGATTTCAATGAACGTTATCTACGTTTAACTTGTTAATTATTAAGTCAGGGATTTCGTTACCATAAATTACATAAATATTTTACTAAATCATTGAATAATTTTAATGTGTTCAATATTACAAAAAAAATCAAATGAGTTAACACAGTTAATATTTTGAAGATGCACAGACAAGATATGGCACGTAATGGATAATATTCGTTTTTACTCGCTTGGATACTATCTGTGACAGAAATTCAGCTCAGAATTGCAGCGGAAAACAATCTGCGGATATTATTTTTGAATTTTAGTGAATACGATACTATATAGATAACACATAGCTGAGAGGATGATAGAGCAGATTGTTACCCCGAGAAAGCATTGTTAACCGCGGCGAAGCCAAGGTTGGCAATACCTTTTTGAGGGGAAACAATCTGCTCTATCAACCCTTTCAGCTAAGTATTATTTACTTTATTATACTGAATGTTCTGTTATTACTGTCTTTTAAATTTCAAATTCAAGTAATAAACTATGACGTTTTGTACATAACAGTCATATAACAGTCATCCCATTTAAAAAAAGCGCACAAATGATCTAGCGTCTCCGTGAAGGGTAATAGAGTATTTGACATGGGATAGAGTGAATTGTTTGCCTCGCATTATCCAATCAGAATCCCGCATTTTGACATGAAGTATAATAGTATATTTTATGTGATGGCAAATAAAAGCTGTTTGTTATTAATGAGATTATTGGTGTTCACTGTATAACTACATTGTCATCACTCCACCAAACGATCCCACCAAACTAATGTAAGTTTTCATCTTTATTCACCAATATCGCGTTACAAAATAAAAGCTGTTTGTTATTAATGAAATTATTGGTGTTCACTGTATAACTACATCGTCATCACTCCATCCAAACGATCCCACCAAACTAATGTAAGTTTTCATCTTTTTTCACCAATATCGCGTTACCAAATAAAAGCTGTTTGTTATTAATGAAATTATTGGTGTTCACTGTATAACTACATCGTCATCACTCCATCCAAACGATCCCACCAAACTAATGTAAGTTTTCATCTTTATTCATCAATATCGCGTTACGTCCTTTAGAATAATTTCTATAATTGAACACTTTTTAAGAAAGTGCCCATGGAAATATTCAAAGGGAAAAAGGTCCGGATGAATGAAGATGAACAACAGAAGATTACTCTTCATTCCTAAAAAAATAAGGCTATTGAACAAAACATTTACGTCACAGGTGTTATTTAATTCATAGATACAAATATTGTTTTTTAAGTTTGTCTGTGTCTGTAGAATTCTTATTCAAACAGGGGATATCACATTCTAATATTTGAACGGTCATGTAGTTTATAAAGCCCATGAATTTATATAGAAATACTATCAATTTAAACTCATTGACCATTTGACTAAACTTGTTCTTAAAGGATATCAACTTAACACCGTTGGTACTAAGATCTTTAGATATTGTTTATATATCTGTACTAACGTTGATTTTGTTTTTGATATATTAAAACATCATTACTGTTTCAGGTTAGGGTGAAGGTTGGCGCCTGTTTAAACGTTTAAACCCTCTGCATTTTTATGCACCTGTCCTAAGTCAGGAGCCTGTTGTTCGGTGGTTGTCGTTTTTTTTTTTAATGTTATTTGTTTCTGTGCATTGTACCGATATTATGAGTAAAACCATTTCCAACTAATAGTTAAAGTTTGTTCGTATGGTGTGCTGTTATACCGCTTTCAAATGTTATGGGAGGGTTGGGCGCTCCCAAACATGTTCAAATCCGTCACATTCTATAGATGCTTCTCTCAAATCCGGAGCCTGTAATTCAGTGGTTGTCGTTGGATGCTGTCAGTCATATTGTTTTTTCGTTTATTGTTTTGTCATAAAACAGTCCGTTGGTTTTTACGATTGAGTTGTTTTACATTTTGTCATGTCGAAGTCTTTTATAGCTGAGTAAACCGTATGGGTTTTGCTCATTGTTAAATTGCGAATAGTGACATATGCATATAACTGCTGAAATCCACTTCATTTAAACTCTCTTGGATAACTGTCTCATTGGCTCTAATACCATATCTTATTTTATATCAGTAAAAATTGTCACGATAAAGAATAGGATACAATCGGGAAATTGTGGATTCAGACGACTATTTATGTTTCTTTAGAAAGTCATTGTTTACATTTTATTTACTTCTGTGGCAAGTTTTATCTCTGGCTTTCCGGTACATTTAATTTCAAAATGTAGGTATTGAATCTTTTGTATAGGGCATGCAGGGGTTGCTTGTCATTGCAAAAGAAAACAGAAATAGTCATACCGTGATTGATTGATTGGTGTTTAATGCCACTGTAATGATATTGTAACTATTATGTTAATTTATCTTGGCCTAATTTGTTTTGTGTGGCCTTATAGTTGTTTACAAAATAATGTTATAACTGTGCAATTTACAAATCACTGGAACAATCATAGATACTGATGGATTGATTAGAACTTTCTATTTGACTTACATAATAATTCCAGAATGTTCATAATCTACGATGTGTAATTTTAACGTCTACCGTATTCTAGAAGTTTCCGTTCTACAATTTTCTAGGAGTTTCCCTTCTACAGTGTTCTAGAGGTTTCCGTGACAGATTTATATACCAAAACCGAAATTGGACAGATCAGAAATTAATATACTTAGATTCTCAGAAGTTCTCTAGAGTTGTTGAATTGACACTTTTTTTACGTTAACTACAACATAATAGATTGGACATATTCCGTACAGTTAAGAGAAGAAATCCGGATAAAGAAAAGACAAAGGAGCGGACAAATATTTAAATAGTTATGTTGACATTTCAATTTGTATAATATTTCTTGTAAACTTGTGTATAATAAATCTTGTTAAATTTTATTATTGATTTGTGTCTTTTGTTGGCTACAACTTAAAGGTGATTTCTGGCCGTAAACCCACTTTTAGCACTATTCACTATTTGCTTCTTTGTGGCAGTCTGTTTTTATTGGTGGAGGAAGCCGGAGTGCTTTGAGAGAACCACCGACATTCAAGAGGAAAACTGAAAATCCTTGTTAATTAATAATGATTGGAGTTGAGCGCACCTGCCACGTGCGGGGTTCGAATTCACAACCTCAGTGTTGACAGGCTAGTTATACCGTAAACCTAATTCCGTAAATCCATACCGGAAACACAACAGTAAAATAGTAATGTTTGGCTTTTTAACTATTTTGATCTGAGCGTCACTGATGAGTCTTATGTAGACGAAACGCGCGTCTGACGTATCAAATTATAAGCCTGGTACCTTTGATAAATATTTGTCTGTCAAGCAACATATCAGGATAATTGACAAATCGTTATAAGAATAAAACATTGATGTTAAAGCTCCGAGGTCGTCGATTTTGAATAAGAATTTGATTACAAGTATTATTATACTTCACGTTAAAATGCAAGATTTTAATTGGCTAATACGAGGGAGATAATCTACTCAATCCCATGGTTCAGCGGGAGACAATTTTTTGAATGTCACCCTTTCGTGCAGACCAATAAAAATCGATAATTCAAAGACAATAAATTGAATTTGTATCGATAAATAAAAGACAATGCTCAAGTTCTACGTTTTGGCCTCAGAACTTTTTCATAGACTGTCAAAACTGAAAATACATTTTCTTCACTTCTGTTTTTTTTATAACAACTAACGTTGTTATGTACGTGACGTCATAGTTTAAAAGTACTTTCAATTTAAAATGTAACAGTAAAAGACAATAATAATAGAACATTAAATATAATAGATTAAATAGCACATAGCTGAGAGGGTGAATGAGCAGATTGTTACCCCTCGAATGAATATTATCAACCCTGGTTTCGCCTCGGGGTAACAATTTGCTCTATCACCCTCTCATCTATGTGTTATTTATATACTAATATATAGAATACACTTAATGGGACAATAATTCCTTATACTACATGTAATTCTTAAGACTAAAATATCCTTCTTCTAGAAAGTATGTTGTAGTACTCGAAGACAACGGCCTAAACATTTCGTACTTTTTGTATTAACTGCTTGATAAAAAAATTATGTATTGCTATGCAATATGACTTGTATCGGGGTCATTGGAAACAACATTCCGCAATGGGATATTCTAAATGTTTGAATTTGAAAATTTGACGAGTATTGTATTAGATTAGGAATAACCAGAGTTGTCACAGTCAGTTTGAAGAGGGATACATTAGCTCTTTATGAAGCAGTTTATATAATGTGATTTTTCCACATGAAAGAATGTCATGAAAATTCCTTAATTGGCGATACACTTCGAAACTAAAAATACTTTGACACTCCAAAAGATAAGAACTGGTCAAACATATGTCTTTTCTATGTTTCTTTGAAATTTTAACCAAAGATGATAAACTGGATGTTTAATCTTCTATATATTTTTAAAAGTGTCTATACATATACGACGTTATTGCAATG